GAGGGTAGAGGAGGAAAGGTAGAGTTGGTTGTCATCCGCATACATCTGGAAGTTAACCCCAAGTCTGCGGATGATGTCACCAAAGGGGAGCATATAGAGGGTGAAGAGGAGAGGACCGAGGACAGAGCCCTGAGGGACACCGCACGAGACAGTTGTAATTTTTACAAATTGGTTGTAAAAATCCTGTGAAGGGCTTTAAGGCTTCTCAATATCGTGATGAGGCGCTATCTCAACAGGAGATTAATATGCATAAAGTTGAAATTTATGCAGCAGGTTACACAATGTGCTATGTGGTATAAAATCCAGCATTAGGAACATAAATATCATATAACTTATTTCATATGCGGGTAAATAACTGGACAATGCAGTTCTGTTTTGAAATTAACTGAACAAATCCATCTAAGTATGTCAGCGTGGCTCAGTTGGCAGCACTCTTGCCACTGAATCAGAAGATTATTGTTTCAAGCCCCACATTAGGACTTTGAGCTCATAGTCTAGGCTGAGACTCAAATGCATTGTCAGTTTAATTCAGAATGAATCTACGCAAACACTATTTCGATGAGCGAGTAGTGAACCTTTGGAACAGGCTTGCCAGGGAGACGATCGAAGCAGGAAGTGTTGATTCTTTCAAACACAGAGTAGATAGTTTTCTTTTAGGAAATAACATTCTGGGATATAGTACATAGGTAGTTCGGGACATATGTGTGTACGAACGCCAGGAAGGTGGAAGGAGAACTAAATGGACCTTGGTCTTTTTTCATCTAGGATTTCTTATGTACTTATGTAAGAGAAGGACCTCATTTTATATCATCTCTGTTACTGTGTTGAAGAATACTGTGACTTTCATTATATTAAACATGAAATTGTGGTTAATGGAATAAAAAAGGGACATTGCATTTCTAGATAATTTATGCCTTTTCTTTTCAACTCTTTATAGGCAATTTCAACTGAAAATTCAACTGCTGAACCATTTGGTAATGTATAATTTCTATCAATAAAATTCATTTCATCAAATTTGTGCTGAAAGAGATATTGATCAACAGAAGGTAACTACAATAGTAATTAATCCTTGCATTTGATATAGTGCTTTTCACTGTCAACAGGACATTTCAAAACTCTTCAATGCACTTCCCCTAAACTACAGTGCCAATGTATAATATAGGAAAATAATTTGTTCTCGGTGATTGTTGACCCAGGGCACGAGGAGAAACTCTCCCCCCCAACCCATCTCTTTTCAAATAGTGCCATAGATCACTTTTTAGGACGTAATAATCCCTTCAAAAANCAAATAAATAATAATTTGCTCATTCAATCCACGATTGTTTGTGGGACACTGTTGTGGGCAATGGCATTTCGCCCACAAAATATACAGTAAATTAACTTAACAGTGTAATCTGTGAAGCGCTTTGAGACTTCTCGAAGATGTGATAAGGCGCTATATCAAATGCAAGGATTATTATCATTACAACTTTAACGTACATCTGAACAGGCAGCTCAGACAAACATTTCATCCAAAGGATAGCATCCACAACAATGCAAAATTCCCACAGAAACACACTGGACTGTAAGGCTCGAATAGAAAGTAAAATAAACTGCATAAAAGTTTTAAGAGAAGTTTCCCATTATATTTTCATCACAGCATCGAGTGAATCTACCAAATTGACTGTTGAAAATAATGGATCCCAGGGATCAACCCTGATATGTAAGTGTGAACAAGGTCTAATATTTTTATGATCAGTCAACTTTTAATCATTTTAAAATGTTTCAGTTTCTTCCTTCTATTATTAAACGTTGAATTATCCAGATACATATATAACTAAATACAATACAATAATATTAACAACCGCAGTTAGCCATGTTGATGAAAGATCAAGCATTGCTCAAAACAGTTTAGCACAGGTTTTCATTGCAAAACCAAATGAATTTACATAAAGAAAGAAGTATTCTTATGTTTCCATCTCAAATTATTTCCTTCACAATATTCACAAGTACCAAAACTGTGGAACTCATATCTATTTGTTTCTTAAAAGACTATTTAGGACAAAACAACCTGATCCTTGAAAATAATGGAACTAGGGACTCCTTGTATTTTTTCTGGAAGGAAGTCATTGGACAGTGGGATGAATATGTATGAATATGGCGTTTTATTAGAGTCTTTCATGACACTCTTTCTTGTATCATTGAAGGTTGAATTAACCATGTGTGTATATAACCAGATATGATTGAGTAATATCACCTGACACAGTTGGTAACAGTGATGAAAGATAAAGCATTGCTTAATATACAGCAGCAGTTTTCGGACAGAGCTTGAGATATTAAAATCAGCTTCACTATACATCGGCTTTCCATTGGAAAAACTAATGAATTTAATGAATTAAGGAATACTTCTTTGGTTCCATCCCCAACACTTCCTTTCACAAAATTCCAATAATCATCCATGTGGAACCGACATGTATTTGTTTGTTTATAGATCCTTCAGAACCATACAATCTGACCCTTGAAAATTCTGGAACCAGGGACTCCTTGTCCGTTTTCTGGAATGGAGGCATTGGACAGAGGGATGATTATGTCATCAGTCTGTATGAGTTTGGATCGAACACAGCGTTGAAACAAGACGTCATTGGAAATCAATCTACAGAACATTCCTTTAAAAATTTGACATCAGGCAGAAAATATACAATTGCTGTTTATGCCAGAGCGGATTCGTACAATTCAACTGCAGCAAATGCTACAGAATGGACATGTACGTATACATTTTAGCTCATTTTAATGAACATTGCTGCTATTTCTCGAAACAAAATGTTGCAGTCTTGTTAATCTCCCAAAAATCCATCTGATTTACATAATATATTACAGTTGCTCATAAAATTGGGCAATAGCCAAAGGATTTGTTGATTGATTCAAAACATTTTGGTTGGAGTTGTACAATTCTATTTTGGATCAAATTGTGCACCTTTACACGACTATCAGCAAGAAAGATTCCCCAAATTCCCATGAAGGGTTGTTTTTTTCATGGAAAGTAAGTAGAGAAACAAATTTCGACAACTCACTCTATCTGACTTCTCTTTATTTAGATCCATCAAAACCAATCAACTTAACGATTGAAAATAATGGATCGCTGGAAACCTTGTCCGTTTCCTGGAGTGGAAGTGATGGACAGAGGGATGACTATGTTATCAGTCTGTATGAATTGGGATCAACCGCAAAGATGAAAGAAGAGGTCATAGGACATCAATTCACCAAACACCACTTTCACAAACTGACGCCAGGGCAAAGTTATTCCGTTGAAATTCTCGCAAGAGCTGGCCCATATAATTCCTCGAACGCAATTGGTACAGGCACGACATGTAAGTGTGAAATTGGTCTTTTGTAACAGTCTCTCATGACACTCTTTCTTGTATCATTGAAGGTTGAATTCACCATGTGTGTATATAACCAGATATGATTGAGTAATATCACTCCACACAGTTGGTAACAGTGATGAAAGATAAAGCATTGCTTAATATACAGCAGCAGTTTTCGGACAGAGCTTGAGATATTAAAATCAGCTTCACTACACATCGGCTTTCCATTGGAAAAACTAATGAATTTAATGAATTAAGGAATACTTCTTTGGTTCCATCCCCAACACTTCCTTTCACAAAATTCCAATAATCATCCATGTGGAACCGACATGTATTTGTTTGTTCATAGATCCTTCAGTACCAAACAATCTGACCCTTGCAAATTCTGGAACCAGGGACTCCTTGTCCGTTTTCTGGAATGGTGGCATTGGACAGAGGGATAATTATGTCATCAGTCTGTATGAGTTTGGATCGAACACAGCGTTGAAACAAGACGTCATTGGAAATCAATCTACAGAACATTCCTTTAAAAATTTGACATCAGGCAGAAAATATACAATTGCTGTTTATGCCAGAGCGGATTCGTACAATTCAACTGCAGCAAATGCTACAGAATGGACATGTACGTATACATTTTAGCTCATTTTGATGAACATTGCTGCTATTTCTACAAACAAAATGTTGCAGTCTTGTTAATCTCCCAAAAATCCATCTGATTTACATAATATATTACAGTTGCTCATAAAATTGGGCAATAGCCAAAGGATTTGTTGATTGATTCAAAACATTTTGGTTGGAGTTGTACAATTCTATTTTGGATCAAATTGTGCACCTTTACACGACTATCAGCAAGAAAGATTCCCCAAATTCCCATGAAGGGTTGTTTTTTTCATGGAAAGTAAGTAGAGAAACAAATTTCGACAACTCACTCTATCTGACTTCTCTTTATTTAGATCCATCAAAACCAATCAACTTAACGATTGAAAATAATGGATCGCTGGAAACCTTGTCCGTTTCCTGGAGTGGAAGTGATGGACAGAGGGATGACTATGTTATCAGTCTGTATGAATTGGGATCAACCGCAAAGATGAAAGAAGAGGTCATAGGACATCAATTCACCAAACACCACTTTCACAAACTGACGCCAGGGCAAAGTTATTCCGTTGGAATTATCACAAGAGCTGGCCCATATAATTCCTCGAATGTAGATGGTATAGGCACGACATGTAAGTTTGAATAAGGTTATTTATTACATTCCCTCATGACACTCTCTTTCTTATACTAAAATGAACTTTACTTTACATCATTTTTCTTTGAAAACCCTCGTGAATTTTGAAAAATAAATAAGACTTTTTATTTTTCCTCCCCAATACTTCCCTTCACAATGTTCACAAGTATCAACTTTGTGGAACTCATATTTGTTTCTTTCTTTATAGACCCTTCAGTACCATACAACCTGACCCTTGAAAATAATGGATCGTGTGACTCCTTGTATGTTTTCTGGAATAAAGGCATTGGACAGAGGGATGACTATGTTTTGAGTCTGTATGAGTTTGAATCGAACACAACGTTGAAACAAGATGTCATTGGAAATCAATTTGCAAACCATTCCTTTAAAAAATTGTTATCAGGCAAAAAATATACAATTTCAATTTTTGCGAGAGTGGATTTGTACAATTCGTCGCTGGCCAGTAGTACAGTTATGATGTGTATGTATAAATTTTAGCTAATTGTCATGAATGTTCCTGATAACAAGATGATGCAATCATTTTAATGACACAAAAAAGCACCTGTTTTGATTGTTATATTACAGTTGCTCATGGGAAATGGAGAATAGCCAAAGAAATTATTGAATGATTCAAGGCAAAGCTTCTAGAAAAATCACAGCAGAACTTTGTCGTTGACAGCATGAATCACTGGAGTTGATGATTTCTATTATATTTCGTTTTTAATCCCATGCTGAAAGTTTAATTGCATTTAATCACATGCGGTAATATTAATCGCATTTAATCGCATGCTGAAAGTTTAATTGCATACTGAAAAACAGCAAAATCGATTGTGAATTAATTCAATCGTACTTCATGTCCATACTAGTGCACTAATGTTATCATGGCGCATCAGAAATCAATGGATTAGAGTTCCCTTGTTTCCTCATGTGTTTCTTGCCTCCTCGTTGGGCATCCTCCTGACATGAAAGGCTCTGTACAAATGTAATTTTGTAGTATAATTGTTGAAGAGTGAACACTTGCCAGGAAGCATGGTTGAGCTCACGATCTCATTTGAAAAGCAGCTTGGTGCTGTGTTTGGTCGAAGGCAGCGTAGTCATTCTGGAGGAACGAGATCAGATGGGCTGAAGTGTCATCTTCATCCAAACCGATCTTGGGATCTTGTGGCTTTCCCAGCAGTATCTTGGAGGATATAGCTCAAAAATGTGGCAAGATCAGAAAATGAAGGTGCAAAAATGGGGTGGGAGGGGACAGATGACCTGAAGTACAGTCAAAGAGGAACATCTTGGAACGGACCTTGATCTGGTACAAAGAAATTGCACTCCCTTGAATTCCTTCCTGTTTGAAGAGCTTCCCAGCTGGCCATGTCACATTCACCCATTTTGTCTTTGATATCGGAGACTCCAAACACAGTCAGGCCTCAAAGGGCCACCCAAGTGAATTAATTGGCAGCTCTTCTCACACAAATGAAGGTAATTAAAGAGCAGCACAGTCTACATAGACAAAGATTTCTTGATTTGTAACTAAGGATCTGCAAACTGTTGAAACATTGATTGAGAAATCAATTCTTTGCCTAAGGGAAGATCTGCCCTTCACTAAAGTCCAGAAGAACATGACAACTGGGCCTTTTGATCCATGGTTCTTAACAATGAGGATGGGGCTCAGTAACCATTTGGAACTTTGAGATAAGAGAGGGATGAGAAGGCTGCGTACAATTTTGTATAAAAGCTTCAATGTATTTAAGACGAAACTGGATGCAAACATGGGAGACATGGGGAAAAAATGTTGCAGGAGGGTTATGTGGAGTATAAGCATCGGCACATTCTTATAGGGCTGAGTGACTTATTTCTGTACTGTATCTACATATTTCTCAGCTTAATGGCAACATCAAGTTCAATTGTTCAATCAACTATTTTTCTTTATGTTTGGCGTTTTACAACTACAGGTTCCAAAGACAATGACAAGTTATTTTTGTTGATTGGATTTTGTATAGCAATAGGCCTCCCATTGCTATTTGTTGGATATCTGCTGTTGAAAAGAAAATGTTTCAAAAGGTAAATCGTTTTTTGTACCATTGTACCACTTAATATACAAATAATAATAATTACCCTTAAGATATCACTTTATCACATTGACAAACCTTTTCAAAATGCTTTATGTGATTTACTGTGGACTGTTTATGTCGGTGAACACATTAGCCAATTTGCACACAGTAATATGCCACAAACACCCATGAAGCAAATGACCAAATTTATCTGGAGGATTTTGGCCAGAACACCAGGAGAAACTCTTTTCATTTTTACGAAAAGTTTCAGATGGATCTTTAACATCCACAGGAACAGCAGACAGGACATTAACTTTACGTCTTATCTGAAGGATGGCACCTCCAAATTTTAGAATCTATTGATTTTTGAATAGATACAGTGCAATAGAATACAAATTTAGGGAGAAGAAAGATGACTGAAAGAGGCATCAAACTGGTAGGTCTTGAGGCAGTGAGTGAATAAGGTGAGGGAGGGAGGGAGTTGGATGGATTCTGGGATGGAATTCTAGCTAGGCTGAAAACCCACCTGCCAATCGTGGGGTAAGTAGGGTGGACGACAAGCAGGACTCCTGACAGAAGGAAACAGCCAGATGAGTAGGGTTAGAACATCCGAAAGCATTACATGGACAAAGTAATTCTAATCCCAAGTCAAATTTCTATCTATAACTGCACATAAAGGCAGATAATAGTCTGGAGTTTCTCCCACCACAGCATCACTAGCTGTTTTTTAAATGAGTCCCATGTCCTGGCCACAATAATGTACCCAGTAAGTTTAGTAGAAAAAAATGTTTTAGTCACATGTTTCTAATGTTCATTTCTTTAAAACAAATATTTTTTTCTTCCTTATTAAAGCAAAGATAACATGGATGATGAACTGACATTTCATACACGGTAAGCATAAACAACAATAATTTGCACTTCTATCATGTCCTTCATGTAGGATGAAAGATAAACATCACAAAGCACTTCAGAGTCAATAGGGAGCTCTGATCAAGGAAGGAAGGAAAATTACAGGCGTTTACCAACACTCAAAGAAATAGATTTTATGAGGGCTTGAAAGACATGGATTTAAGGTGCAAGGTGAAGGAATTTGGGAGAGCTCCATAGAGTGAAAGAATTGTGGCTGAAGGCTTGGCAATCGACAATCGGATGGAATGAATGTGGAACGAGCAACAGATAAGAGAAAGGCATGTGTGGGAGACTTGGGCTTCAGAAGATAACACGTAGGGATGGGGCAAGTGAAAAGAATTGAAGGTGTGGAGAAGGATCTTAAAATCTTCTTTTTGGTCAGCCATATGTGGGAGTTTGACACATGCAGAAACCCATCACCAGACCAGACCAAAGAGTCTCCAAACCACGCTTTGAGTTTCATGTATCCCAACTATGCATGGAAATTTCTATGTCTGGAGTGGAATGCGCACTCTCTCCCTGGAGGGACGCACCTTTCTTACCTAAATCCGGAAAGTATTGAAACAGGTTGAGGAGAGCTAAGGCTTGGGACCCCAAAGTGTGCATTGGCGGAACTGCTTGAGTTCAACTAGCAAATATCACATAGCTTGCCATTGCGAGCATTCCAAGCTTCCCGCTACTTGTTAAGCCTGAACCACCAGATCCGTTTGGGTTCTGGCTATCAACAGCCATGGTTTTAATAACCCTCTTTCTCCTTCTAGCAACGAACACCTTCCTATCCAGATAGCAGACTTTGAATCGTATTACCGTATGAAATCATCTAACTCCAATGAGGGCTTTTTGAAAGAATTTGAGGTAAATTGCTTGTTTCTTTCCAGGAATAAATTAGATTAGGTGTTTCAGGGATTAGGTTAGGCAGCTCATGGGGAGAGAAACAGATGAACAGATTTCTCTGTGCTGTAGTGTTGTATGATTCTTGTGAACAGATTTCAGTCAGGTCTGAAGACCAGGATAATTTACTGAGTACCTTCAATCCAACGATGAATTGGCACAAAAATATTGAAGGAACAATGCAATACAATTTACATTCATAAAGACTCTTTCACATTGGATGGATGTCTCGAAGCGCTTCATGCTGCCCCCTGGGCACCCAAGACGGTGGCGGTGGGGAAGAGTGGGGTGGTGGAGCAGTGCTTTGAGTGCTGAAATGAGTATGGTGGTGGTGGGGAGAGTGGGAGGAAGGTGACCAAAAGTGTGGTCAATTAAGGAAGTCTCGAGGCAGGCTTTGAACATAGGGAGGTAGGGGGTGAGTTGGAAGTACTCAGAGATGCAGTTCCAGAGATCAAGGGCAGAATGGCATATGAAACCACACTACACAATACATAGAGAACAATAGACATTTATAGAGTTAACCTGATACAATGCGATTTACATTTATACAACGCATTTTGTATCGGGAGGATGTCTCAATTGATATGCTGGCAGGGGAATGAGCTGTGTAGCTTAACTTGAGTATTGACTCCAATTGTCCAACAAGGCACTGACAGAGTGAGATCCTTTCACTTCTCTTCAGTTTCGCCCACGAAACACACAGTCGAAAGCACTTTACAGTATAATCTGTGAAGCGCTTTGAGTCTTCTCAACAGCGTCCTGAGGCGCAATATCAAATGGAATGATTATTATTATTATTTACTTTCAGAAACTCAAAGATATTGGAAAAGATCAGTCAAGCAACATAGCCCTACTGATGTATAACAAGGTTAAAAACCGATATAGCAACATATTACCGTGTAAGTAATATTGATTCATTTTGACAGGTAGCAGCAAGGCCACGAGGACACTATGTAAACTAGGGATAGTGTAGAGATCCACACTTGAATTTCCAACAAAAGAAATTTGGTCGAAATAAAATGGAAACAAGTGTGACACTGTACGTGAAATGTGGTGCGGAAGACAACAGTTCACTGTTGGTAGCTTCTTAATGTTCAATTTTACTGTAATGATTTTACAGCGGCATAATTAAAATGCAATTTACATTTATGAAGCATCTTTCACGTGGGACGATGTCTCAAAGGGCTCATCCAAGCTGGAAACAATGTGGTGGAAACAATGAGGAAAGATGACCAAACATGCAATTAAAGTCTCAAGTTAAAGTCAGTTAAAGGGGCAGGCTTTGAAAGAGGGAAGGGTGGGGGTGAGGCAGAGATACTCCAGGTTAAAGTTCCAGAGAGTGGGACAGAATGGCTTAAAACTCACCCACATAGTGGAGCTCAGTGGTTAGAGCCATCGTCTCGCAAACAAGAAAACCTGGGTCTGATTCCCACGCAGGGCGAAACATTGGGCAAGTTTCCTTACTCCACACGCTTCTGTTTACCTAGCAGTAGGTGGGAACCCAGTTGTTAGTCGATTGGTGGATCGCTTTTCTGGGATAATAATCCCTCCAAAAAATGATTAAAAAAAAATTTGGTCACTCCATGATTGTTTGTGGGACACGCCTATGCGCAATTAGCTGCCGCGTATCGCCCACAAAGTATACAGTAAATTCATTTTACTGTATATTCTGTGAAGCATTGTGAGACGTGATAAGGCACTATATCAAATGCAAGGATTATTATTATAATTATTATTACCTATGGTGAGATGGATAGAGAAGGGGACATGAAGCTTGCTGAGTGAAGGGAGCGGCGAGGTTGGTAGGGTTTCAGGAGATCACAGAGATAGGATGGAAGGATTTGAACGCGAGGTCGAGGATCTTGAATTCGATCTGTTTGGGGAATGGGGATGAAAGAAGGGCATTTTTGTATGAATAATATCTGCTTCTATTTAATTTACAGATGACTGGTCAAGAATCAAGCTGTCTGGCTCATCAATGGAGCCTGGCCTAGATTATATTAATGCAAACTTAATTCCTGTGAGTTATCTTTTGCATCCTTCCGTATGTTCCCACACATCAGAGTTAATTTTGCAGTATTTCTAAACAAGTTATTAAAAAGAACTGGCTTGCCAATTAAGAATGTTAATTGCATTCTTAATTGGCAGGTCTGCACAATCTTAAGGCAAAGTGGTGTCTTAAAACTAGAAGCAATTTTGGCAACACAGAAGGAACGTACTCTTGCCTCTGAGTCAGAAGGTTGTGGGTTCATGCTCCCCATTAGTTGAAGTGGAAGGAGACATTAAAACAACATTCCATCTGCCTGTGTAGTTGGACAGCACAGATCTCATTATTCCCCATTCAAAAAGAGATACGAATCTCTTCTAGTATCCTGGCCAACAATCCCCTGGGTGAATTGATCATGGCTGTTCTTGGAGATTTGCTGGCACAAACGCAGGTTTGTTTGCATACAAAAGCAGTCACAACTCTTGAAAACAATTACCAACAAAGCACTTTGAGACACTTAGACATAATAAGGGTGTTTTACTTTCATATTTATTTCAATGAAACGGCCCCATTCTCGGAGGTTCCAGTTTTGGGGTCATTTCCAGATTGCACATGAATACAGTAAGACGCAGGTGTAATTTAATGTTTCTTAGGTTTATGGCTCTGCACTAATTGCTTAGATTTGATTTATGAATTTAGGGTTACAATTCAGCACGTGACTATATTGCTACGCAAGGACCACTGAAAAATACCGTCAATGATTTCTGGAGAATGGTTTGGGAGTATAATGCCTGTTGCATTGTGATGTTGACAAACCTAATTGAAAATAACAGGGTAGGTTCATTCAATTGAATGGGAATTTGGGCCAAAGTTTAAAATAAATGCCATTCAACAGTGTTTAATATATAATGCATTTATATGTATTGCAAGGGCTAAAATTATTATTATTTTAATGCATTTGCAGGTCACATGTGAAAAATACTGGCCTACTAACAAGTTGCCCATTCAGTATGGACAGATATATGTCAGTGTATTAAAAGTGGAAAAGTTTAAGGAATGGACTAAAACTGAAATGATGATTTCTCACGTAAGTGCAAAATATGCTCATGTTTGTATGCATAAATTGAATTGGATTCAAGTCAAATATGTTCACATTGTCTCCACAGATGCTCTGCATGATTTAGCTATTGTAGTTAAGCAACTTGACGACAGGTTAATGGTGTCAATCTGACACAGTTGATAACACTCTCACCTCTGATTCAAGAGGTCGCCTGACAATTGAAGTCACATAGTCAAGGCTGACACTCCAGTGCAGTGCTGAGGGAGCACAGCATTGTTGGAAGTGCAGTTCTTCAGATGAAACATTAAACTGAGGTCCCGTCTGAATGTTCAGGTGGAACATTAAAGATAGCGTTATTCAAATAATCCCCCAGATAAAATTGATCATTTACTTCATAGCTGTTTGTGGGACATCGCTTTGCACAAATTGGCTGCCGCACTAATATACAAAATACACATGCACTATACTTAACAGTAAATCCTTTGTGATGTCCTCCTGACGTGAATTCAAAACACAAGGGTATTATTATTTACCTCATGACTCACACCAATCTGATCCTCGCCCAACAATCTCATGCAAATGCTTTCCAACAGGACACCAATTGGAAACAGGAACACTGCAGAATTTCTTTATCTTCCAACTGATGTGCCATTCATGTAATTGTTTTGACCTGGGAGAATGTTAAGGAATGCTTTAAGGATTACCGCAAAACTTTTACATGAGAAAGAGGAAAGAGAGAGAGTGGGAGAGAAACTACTATTCTCAGAGATTTGGTAAACTGTATGTATCATAAGAAAGACATCTGGATGCATACCCTTTTACCACAATCTTGCTCATTTTTTCCTGCAGATTAACAGTAAACCAGGCAGGACAATTTGCCATTACCAGTTTGTGGACTGGCCTGACTATGGAGTTCCTCAATCAATCAATTCATTGGTTGACTTCACAGAAGTAGTTCAAAAAGCAACAGAGAGTGTGAGGAACTCAGGACCCATTGTGGTGCACTGCAGGTCGGTTTGGATGAGGAAAACCCTTCAGCTCATCTGATCTCATCCCTCCTCAAACCACCATCTCCCCATGCCAGCAGCATTGAGCTGTGTTTTAGATGTTTTGCAGGGTTCTGGCTTCAACCACCTTTCCTGGCAACCTGTTCCAATCATTGATTACCCTCTGGGTATAGAAATACTTCCTGATGTCTGTCCTGAAATTTTCCTTTGCATCTAAAAACCTGTGTCCTCTTGTAGTGTCTTATTGGGTCCTAAAATATTGTTCTGGGTTTATCTTTTCAATCCCATTTAAAATTTCATAATGAAATGAAAGTTGTCATGATTCTTAGCTGTAACTATCTTTTTACTCCATTTCACTCCAATGTAATTTGACGGCTGTGATTTTTTTTATTATAGTGCTGGAGTTGGTCGTTCAGGCAGTTTCATTGCACTCAGCTATTCAATGAATCTGATAGCAACCAAAGGGATCGTGAATGTGTTTGGCCAAGTGTACACAATGAGACGGTGTAGAACAATGATGGTGCAAACATTGGTATGTTATGTACAATGTGTTCTACATTTACCGCAGTCGCAGTGTTAAACGCCTAATTTGAATCTGAATTATCCTGAAAGTACACCTGAAAGGAATATAAATTCCATTAATAAGACTATGGTGTCAGTCTGGCTCAGTGATAGCACTCTCACCTCTGAGTCAGAAGGTCATGGGTTCAAGTTCACTGATGCTCCAAGGCACTGCTGGGAGAGCGTTGTGTTTAACTGCTCCAAGATAGTGCTAACGCGATGGCATTATATAAATGCAAGTTGTTGTTGTATTGTCAGAGGTTCCATCCCTCAGATGAGATGTTAAACTAATGTCTCATCTGGCTATTCAATTGGACCTTAAAGATCCCAACTCGACAAGAGAAGTGAGTTTCTCCTGATGTCCTGACGTCCAATAAATTTGATTATTCGCTTCAAGACTGTTTGTGAGACATTGCTGTGTGCAAATTGATCACCGAATTCATCAACAAAATTATCTTTACATTATATTGTGTGAAGAGTTCTACAATGCTCTCCCTACATGAAAGGTACTATATCAAACAAAAGGACTATTATTATGTTGAATTTTAACCATCAGGTTGTGCTTTCAGATCAGACTGAACTTCTCTTCTTGACTGAGCGTGTTCTTATTCCATACATGGGGCTAATCATGGTTATTTTCCTGTCCTTTCTGTCTGAAGTAGAAAAATCTACACAAAAAGACATAAGAGAAAATGCAAGAAACATTGACTTTCAAATTGAAAGAGATGAAATTTGACCAATATTAATTGTCGAGACATGCTGGTTAATTTTAATCATATTCTTATTTTTTTCAGGATCAATATGTGTTTTTGCATACCTGCATTCTCAACATAATTTCAACGAACAAAGAAAAACATGCAAAGTAAGCCATACTTATTTATTTTACCTGTACTCCTTTGGTTGTTCTTACACCCATTGCTTATGGCGTATTGGTACGGGATCAGACATTAAGCCTTCTCAACGCATATTCCACACATGAAATATATCAACTCACAGACTTGGCTGACGTTCCAGTGCAGTTCCTGGAGAGCACTACATTGCCGGAAGCGGTGAGGTTCAGATGAAACATTTCACCGTCTGCCTGTTCAGATGGATGTAAAGATTCCTGTATGCTTTGGAAGAGATTCTCAGTCACAATTACAGCACTTTGCAGTAAATCCCATGAAGTGCTTTGAGGTGTCTTGATGATATAAGTCACTGTATCAAATGCGAGGATTATCATTGAACAGGCTCGGGGGAAAAAATAGTGCAGTTAGGCCTGAATGCTCTGTTTCTCTGGGGTAACGTCACAATTCTGTGTATAAACCGGTGAAATCATTAGCCAGCATGGCTGTGGTGTCACATTGGCATTATCCTGAACTGAGTATCACAAAGTTTGTTTGGTGAGAAATTCACATCTGTTCTGGACTTCCTCTTGTTACCTGTAAAGCGCTCTGAGATGCTATTTCACGTGAGGGACTGCTGTATAACTCCAAATTGTTGTTCTTGTAATTGCTTTTCTTTCTTTTTAGAAGAAAAAATCAGGTTCCGCTGATTGACTTCCCCGTGCACTGCATGCGCCTGGCCGCAAACTCAAACATGGGCTTCTTAGAAGATTTTGAGGTGTGAATGCAAAAAAAAAGTTTCACTATTTTAGCAATTCATAAGGCGCTGTATCAAATGCAAGGATTATTATTTGGAATACATTGAAGCCTATGTAACGCCATTCATAATTAATTGTCAAAGCTCATTTGAAACGTAGAGTTTGCAATCTATCGTTTCTTCCGTTTTGTTCCATTTGCAACCAAATCCCTGTTCCCAGTGTTCTTTTTGAGGATGACATTTTCTGACTGTCGATTTGAAGTCTGATGATTTCGGGGCATTTCAGGAGCCGGAGCTGTGCGTGTGCTGAAGACTGCCACAAGGTGGAGTTGCTCAGAGTTGTCAGATTGACACGTCTCATAATGCGTTCGACCAGCCAGTACAACAACAACAAGATTACATTTGTATAGCGCCTTTCACGTCGGGAGGACATGAAAGCCACTGAACCTGCAGATCTGAACCGAGATCATGACTGTGCCATCACAGTACAATCCAATTTATATTTAATTTGTGTTGGCGCCTTCCGCAACAGGAGTTTGGTTTGCCGATGCTGAGTGGGGAGATGAATACTGCATGCAGAGTGACCAAAAAGTCGTGATATCTACCCTATTTCTTTTTTGATTGTTTGATCGTTAAGCACTCTGAGAACGCTACCCTGCATGGAGGGCGCTAATATAAGCGCGAGTTGTAATGGTCAGTTTGAATCCAGGTGGATTCAATAAAAATTGGTCATTTCAATCCACGACTGTTTGTGGGACACTGCTGTGCGCAATTGGCCCCGGCTTTTCGCCCACACATATACAGTCAATTCACTTTACAGTCTATTCTGTGAAGCGCTTTGAGATGTCTGGAAGATGTGAAAAGCCTTATATCAAATGCAAGGATTATTATATTATTATTATTATGGTCTAAAAAATGAAATTACCATCATTTCTTTAAGAATTATTAGACGTTGTAGTGGTATCACGACTTTTCGGTCACCCTGTACAAATGCACATCAAAGTACGTTACATCGAAGTGGTACAGAGCTCAATGGATTGAAATTTAAAGTCATGGCACATTAAAGATGTACGGCATCGCATTCTTTTGCTTGCAAGAGTTAATCTGACATATCTCCACTGGGAGGCTAAGAGTTTCTCCGCGAGGAAGGTTAAATCTATGTCCACCACCTAGTGGGCATTTGTAGAATGTTTTCTGTGGCTGGCCTCTCAGTTGAGGGAGTGCAGCTGAAAAAGATAACAGAACAATAGAGGCATCAAACAGAAGAACAAATTGCATTTGTGTTCGTTTATAGTTTTGAACGCATCAAACTAAGTTACAGGATTTGCACTCCCGCGTCCGATTGGAAAAATAACTACAGATTTCGGTGACCGTTTCAGTTTTCATTCTAACCTTAGGTTTGATCCTTAAGTTGTAAATTTGAATTGGATGCATTATATTGTAAATTAGTATCCCCAAAGATATGCCAGTAATACCTTTTTTGAAGTGGTGAGGGAGCATTCGTGTTTCCAATAATGCTGTTCATTGTTCATTTACCGCCTCGGTTTACCAAGCAGTAAGTAGGAACCTGGTTGTTAGTCGATTGGCAGATCGCTTTTCCGGGGGTAATAATAAATTGGTCACCCCAATCCACGACTGTTTGTGGGACACTGTTGTGTGCAATTGGCTGCCATGTTTCACCCACAAAATATAGTGTCAGTTCACTTTACAGTATATTCAGTGAAGTGCTTTGAGACGTCAGGTGCTATATCAAATTATTATTATTATTATTATTAAATTAGCACCTCCCCTCTGCCCCCCCCTCCCCCCGAGAAAATGTTCAAATTCAAACCAGAAAGAAAGTGCATTGCAGAATTTGTCCTTCGCCCTGGCACTGCGAGAGACTTTAGTGATCATTTGTCAACAAAAACTGTTTGTTTTTCTCTCAAAGAATGCATCACAAGGCACAACCTACCATCATCACATTTTAAATCTAAATCATGTTTTAATAAGATTGTCAACTCGAGTTTTTTTTATTTATTTGGAAGTTATCGTGCGGTAAACACTGGGATTGTGAACAAGTTTAGTAAAGTAAAATCAAAGTAAAATGACAGATAATCTTTTCAATATCATCGGCTTCTTATTACATGATAAAAGATTTATGGGTTAATAGTTACGAGGGTTTTTTTTTTCCGCTCTTATTTTTTAAACTAAAGTCTGCATTTAACTGATGTTTGTTCTGGTTCCCCTGTAGCTCATAGGACAGGCAGGGAGAAAACAGCCAAAAACCGCAGGCCTGCTGCCTGGCAATGCAAACAAGAATCGATATAAAGATGTCGTGCCATGTAAGATGCATGTTTGTACTCCTTTCCGTCTTTGTCCCAAATCGCCCGTTACACGCATCATTCTGCAGTGAGATGTTAAATCGAGGGCCCTGTCTTCCTGTTTTTCTCTCCCGGTGTCGTGGCCAACAATCCCCCAAATAAAGTTGGTCACTTACTTCATGATTGTTTGTGGCTCCCTGCTATGCGCAAATTGGCTGCTGCCTTCGCTCACAAAACGTAGTCACTACACTTTATAGTAATAATAATAATCCTGTGACGTGCTTTCAGCCCTGCATGAGAGCCACAATACCAATTGTAAGGATTAATATTATTATTATTATCGTTGCCTGACTTTTGGATGCATTTTGTGGGCGAAGCTCGCAGACGAATGCTCGTTAGCAAAAATATTCCTTGAAATCTAAAGTGATTGAGGTGACGCATGTCAGCGCTCAAGAAGATGAGACACATTTTGGTACCGCCACCGAGATGTCAGTTTGGTTCAATCTGTAGGGTTCTCTTGCCTTGAGGGTAGAACGTGACCCCAGGCTGACGCACCGATAGAACTTTACCCATTGCACTTACTCTCCTTGGGTAGAACATCAAACCGAGGTCCCATCTGCTTGTTCAGGTCGATGTTAAAGAACCCGCTATTGCTATTCAAAAAGAGAAGGGAGTTTCTGCCGGTGTACAAACTAAATGTTTGAGAATGTATCTCTTCTCCGCTATGTATATATATACATATATATATATATATATGTATTCAACCAAGGTGTAAAGAATTATGTAAGGAATTTTATGTATATTGATTTTGATTTTTCTGTGTTTTTGCAGACGAGCACTCTAGAGTTAAATTGCCACCTTCTTTGAATGATCCTTCCTCAGATTATATCAATGCCAACTTTATTGCGGTGAGTTCTCTGCACCTTTTATTGTTATGCAGCATCAGGTGTATGATATGAAGTAAATGCTTTTCAAAGTAAAGTTAATTATTTATTCAATTTACAGCAAAATTGTAGTCTCAGTGGAATCTGGTAACCTCTGGGCTACAAGTGTCTTCTCTCCAGAGCTACACCTGCCAACATGGCATTGCCTTGAAATTCCACCTGCTCTTGGAAGCCAATGGGGTCTCCTCCTGAAGCTTTGCAACTCTCTCCCTCATTCTCTCCATCTTGCCCCCTACTTCCCCTTCTTTTAGGTCACAACTGAAGACCTTTCTCTTTGACGGCACTTATGATCACCTCTTCCCTCTCCCCAAGCTCAGCATTGGGCTCCACCACTGTTAAGCGCTCTGAGACGCTGCCTTGCTTGAAGGGTGCTATATAAATGAAAGTTCTTGTTTTTGTTGTTGTCTCATGATCACAAGATTGGTTGGCTGAAGAACACCCTTTGGCCCCTTTCATCTCATCCCTCCAGAACACCCAATCTACAGTCCTCCCGTCACAGCATCAAGCTACTTTTTAAATCGGTCCCAATGTCCTGGCCTCAACCATCTTTCCTGGAAACCTGTTCCAGTTGTTAATTCCCCTTTCAGAAAAGAATTACGCTTTGAGTAAAGATCTGAGCCACCTCAGAATATCTGAGGGGCCAGAGACCAGGTAGGGGGCAATTTCCAAAAACTACCAAAGTGCAAAAGGAAACACTGAAAGAGATCAAATGGACAGAAATGTGGAGATGGCAATTTGCTCTCAGAGATTTTTTTTTGTCTTTTCTTTTCAATACACTCGGGCGGCTTTTAGAAATTGCATTCAGCATTCATTTCATTTATAATTTCCTTCATTGCTAAACATTGAATAAGCTCTAGGTGTCAGGGTCCGTAACTGAGGGACACAGTTTCATGGCGTTTCGAGCTCATAGTCTAGGCTGACGTTTCAATGTAATGCTGGCTGGTGCTGCATTGTTGGAGCTGTTGTCCTTAGGTTCAGATATTATACTGAGGTCTCGTCCAGTATATTGTTGCTTTTTTTTGCTAAACAATTGAGGTTAGATCCCTATACATCAACCTTAGGCTGTGCCGTGCTCTGGTCAGGCTGCACTTGCAATTCTGGTCACTGTGACATAATGGCTCTTATGCCTTGAGATAACTGGAGGAAACTGCACTGACAAGCCTTGCTCTTCATTAATCACATCCAATTGTAGGGCTACAATTCAGACCAAGAATACATCGCCACACAAGGACCACTGAAAGAGACATTGGCAGATTTCTGGAGAATGATATGGACATACAATGTGTCCATCATCGTCATGTTAACACGGTGTGAGGAAAATGGCAAGGTAAGATCATACACTGCTGATGGGTGAAGGTAAGGAAACAGATGATGGATGTTCCTTATTTTAAACACTGGTTATCTCGCAGGTTTTACAAAATGATTCGCATAGAACCTTGACACTGATAGAGAACTTGTTAGATATTACTAGTGTTCCAGTTACCGGTGGTTTTTCACAGAGTGGAGGCAGGTTAGCTCGAAACGTAAACACTCTACGTATGAATGCTTGATCCTGCCACAATGCAGGTGGGGGGAAGTGCCTCGTTGTCGGAGGCAAGGCCCTTCGGATGAGAAGAGGTTAAACCGAGGTTCAGTCTACCTGTTCAATTGAACGTTAAGGATCCTGTGATGCTATTCAAAAAGCCATCTCCCAGCAATAACATCCCCAAAAAACATATGTAGGATATACACGATAGATGGCCGGGTATTAAACTAGAAAAGTAATTTTTCTCTGGCTTCTGCTGACATAAATCACCCAAGGCTTTATCTCTAACATATAATTGATGCAGTTTATGTCACTAGTGTGTATTAAGCATAATATGTGATATGCAAGCAATTTTACGCATTAACATAAAATAACCATCAACACAAATGTGTGGATTGCAGAAGAAATGTGAGGAGTATTGGCCCTTGGACAGGAATCCTCAGCAATTTGGTGACATTCTTGTTCAAGTCATGTCGCAAAACATGTACCCCGAATATATAGACAGACAATTTAAAGTTATACACGTGAGTATTCCTGTTTTATACGTACTCCGCATTCAGAGTTGCTATCACGCGTGGAGGGTGCTGCATAAATACATGTTGTTGTTGTTTTTGTACTCCACTCAATGGAAAACCAAGCATTATCTGGTGTCAGAATGCTTCAAATAGAATTCCTGAAACGATGAGAACAAATGGATCAAAGAACCTTCTTCATCTAAACGGTCCAGTGATTTTCAGCTTTGTTACTGTTTTGTTACTTTGTCACTACATTTTCAGCTTTGTTACTATTTTGTTACTTTGTGACTACATTTTCAGCTTTGTTACTATTTTGTTGCTTTGTGACTACATTTTCAGCTTTGTTACTATTTTGTTGCTTTGTGACTACATTTTCAGCTTTGTTACTATTTTGTTGCTTTGTGACTACATTTTCAGCTTTGTTACTATTTTGTTGCTTTGTGACTACATTTTCAGCTTTGTTACTACTTTGTTGCTTTGTGACTACATTTTCAGCTTTGTTACTATTTTGTTGCTTTGTGACTACATTTTTAACTTTGTTACTATTTTGCTGTAACCCAATCTTTTCCTCCTAATGCCTTACACATGTGGAAAAAGTTACCAACGATGATGCCCAAGTTTTTCATTACCAGGTGCATTACCGAGCGGAGAGGATAATTTCTCACTTTCATTTTTTGGGCTGGCCGGATCACGGTGTTCCTAGTCCCATGGATTCAATCATCAGTTTCGTAGCTGGGTTCAGACATCACGCCCACTTCATAAAGAAATCAGGGCCCACAGTTGTGCACTGCAGGTAAGGAAGCAATAAAATGGGTGGCGTTTGCCACATTCAATCATCACTGACAAATGAAAAATCCTCCAGTGATTGTATTGCACAACATTTATCGGAGGTGCTGTCTTTCGGATGAGAAGTTAAACCAAGGTCCTTCTGCCTGTGTTTGCTACAGCTCCTATTTGATCCTATATGAGAAAGCAGTTTCTCCTGGTATCCTGACCAACAATTCCCCCCCCCCCCCCCCCCCCCGATAAAAAATTGTTCATTCACTTCATGTGGACATTGCTGTGTGCAAATTAGCTGCTATTCACCTACAATCTTTTTAGTACATTACCGTAATATCCTGTGAAGCACTTTGAGACATCCTCCCATGGTGAAAGCCACTATGTTAAATGCCAGGAGTTTTAACATTATAAACTCAATAGTTATGAACATTGGATATACCGCTCCACACAGGGATATAACACCACACAGAGCCTTTCACATCAGGATAAATACTCAAAGTGCCTATTGCAACCTCAGTTCAACCTTTCATCTGAAGGAAGGCACCTCTGACAATGCAGCACTCTATCAACACTGCATTGGATGTCAGCTTAGAGGTCAAAGTCCTGACATAGGGGCCTGCTTCAGGTCCCTTGAACTTCCCGCCCCACTATTAGCACTCGGGAATTCAGCATCTCTGCCCTTACACTCCGGAACTCTATCCCGCAATCCCTCTGCCTCACTCCCTCTCTTGCCTCTTTCAAGTCCTGCCTGAAGCCCTTCCTCTTTGACCATGCCTTCAACCACCCTCCCACCCCCACCGCCAACTCTCCTGCCCTCCACCCCTCTTGACCCCAACTCCCAACTCAAGTCCAAAAGCCCCTGACTGTCCAGCGCCCTGAGACATCGTTCCAATGAGTATAATTTGTTGCTGTTATCATTGAATCCATAACCTTCTAACACCATGATAAGTAGTTTCATTATATATTTGATGCTAATTTAAAGTCTATACCGATTCTCGCAAATTGTCCGAATATAACATGAATATCTCTGTTTTGTTCATCAGCGCTGGAGTTGGTCGCACGGGCACATTCATTGGTCTTGACTGCCTGCTGCAACAGATTAGGAACGAACAAACCATCAATGTGTTCGAAATGGTTCACAGAATGAGACTAAACAGATGTTTTATGGTCCAAACTCTGGTATGCTCCAAACGAAAAGTGCTCTTATTGATCCATGTCTCAACTTTGGGACACCTAGACACAATGCACCAATTAAATTAAAGGACCTTGTTTTTAACCTGTTTAACATATTGGATATCATGGCATTCAGAAAGATTAAGCTTTTAATTACCCGACTGATCCAATCCATCATCATTGCAGGAGCTTTCAACCATTCCTCTCCTGCCTTCAGTACTCCAGTTCAGGATCCCTTTGCATTGCCTACTCCTTCCCCAACTGTTTAAGATCCATCTGTTCAACTGCTATTCATGTCATCTCCCCCCACCACCCCACTCCCCATCCCTCCTCAGTTTCCCCTCTGCCCCCTAAGCATGGCCTCCCAGTTAGCAGTGCAAAGCACTGTGAGATTAGCTGTTGAATAAGAAATGTGTGGTTATTCCCAGTTGAGGGTGTGGTAAACGAATGGAGTGTTGGTTACACCTCATAGGGCTGCCAAGTCTCCATCAGACTTCCCAGTCCTTCTCCATCAAAGTTAAATGTGCGGGCATGATGCGATAATCATTACCGGTGATAATTCTGGTAATTATGTCATTCCGCCTTGTTTCTCAAGCGCTAGCGAAGCGTGAATTGGAAAATGAGATTGTAAAATTCTCATAACTTTCTTTCTTCTTTTCTTTAGGATCAGTATATGTTGCTGCATACCTGCATCAGAAATATCCTTACACAAAACTCTTGAAGAGCTAAAGCTTTGCTGAATTGCTCTTTCACTTTCCAGAGCTCCATCTACATTTTCTGCGCTGTAGATTTCTATGATTCCAAGACAATCTAATTTCTGCTGATGTAACTACTGTGGCAAAATGATGAACATACAAACCTTGGCATTTTGTAATGTACATTTATAACATTTGCACACAACCGAGAATATTTAAATATGTGTTAGCTTTTAGTTTTGTAAAGATAAAGAATGACTAATTGTATTATTGTAAATAAATTCAAACAAAGCACGAGATCTTTACTAGACGGTTATCGAGAGAAGATAATGTAGAGTCTATTTTGCCATATATTTTATGATGAATCAATAAAAAGGACATTCAGAATTGATTTATTTTATTTCGAGGTGAGGTTTCCTAAGAGCAAAGGATTATTTCCTCACACTCACCTACAAATCACTTCATGTGCTACCCCCACAATCAATCCCCTCTTTACCTGTCTTCAGATTGTGCCTGAAGACTTTCCTCTTCAACCATGTCTTTAATCATTTCCTCCATGCTCAGTTTCAAACTACACCAATGTCAAGCGCACCAAGATGCCACCCAGCGTGAAGGGCACGATATAAATTCAAATTGTTGCTGTTATATTGTCCAGTCAATGTGTTGGTTGGTGAGTTCTATAACAAAGGACAGTGAATATACGAGAGCCAGTAGCGGAGCTAAAAGGGACTTTAGGAGGAAATCCTTCACCCAGAGGGTGGTGACAATGTGGAACTCACCTCTAGAAGCTGTGATTGAAGTAAAAAAGCATCAACGTATTTAAGAGGAAACTTGATGTATACATGAGAGAAACAAGAATAGTGGGGTATAGGAGAAAGGATTGGAACGGGTGGAGTGTAAACTATAGCTTGGTTATTCTTTCACTCACAAGCTCACTCGGTGGCTCACTCGCTGGTTCACTCGTTCACTCACTTGTTCACTCACTCGCTAGCTCACAGTATCTACTCCGCTCAGGTACTCCCACCTCCTTGATCTACCAATCCCCAAGGCAACACACTCAATTGCAACAAGCCTTCTCCTCAGTGCTTGGCCATTTTGCTTGGCTGTAGGTTTCCTCTCTCCTCCCTCCAGAGTCACAGACTTTCTTTCATCCACTCCCAGTGAGAGAGTTTGATCTCCATGTTGAGTGATAACTTTTATACAGTTCAGAGTCCACACTCCCACCCTTCCTCAGATGCAGACCAAGGCCCCATTGGAGTGGGCCTCCATATTGCCAGTTCCAAAGTCTGGTACAATATTCATTGCATTGTGAGTTGGCTAAAACAAAAACAGCTTTCAGTGAAAGTAAGATTTTGTGGTCTCTCTGAAGTTGGATTATTCCATACATTTAACGGGCAATTTGTGCCAAATAAAACCAAACCGAGTAAACGATTTGAACGTTTCATCTCTATCCAGTCAATTACTTGTGAAAGCTCAGAAACCCAATCACACTCACATATGGGAGCATTCAGCTCTCTAAAAATAACTTGCACTTACGCCCTGTTTTATTATTATTATTATTGTTATTATTAAATGAAGGTTTGCTCTGTTCACCGTTGCTGCTGCTTTTTTTTGGTCAGCTGGGTGTCTGACACATGTGGAAACCCATCACCATGCTTAAGTGTCCCCAAACCAAATTAAGTTTTCCATTCATCCCACCTACGCATGGAATTCCCAGAGATAGATCGTTGGAATGGAATGTGCACTCTCTTCCAACTAAAACTGCATAGCTTGCCATTGATATTGCTGTTACAAGTCGAGCCGTAGTCATAGAACCAAAGAAATTTACAGCAGGGAAGAAGGCCCGTTCGGCCCATTGTGTATTGCTCCTCTTTTATAGAGCAATCTTTTCAGTCACATTTACCTACCATTCCTTTTCACTCCTTTTTCGATGTTTATCCAGTTCCATTTTGAAAGCTAACATGGATTCTGCTCCGTTCACCATTCCTCTCCACATCCTAACCGCTTAGTGTGTGTGAAGAACTTGCTCCTAACCTCCCTGTTTGCTAGCTGTTATTCTTAAATGCAAGTCTCGTTTAGGTGCTGTGCTCGCTCAATGGTCAATCAATCCTTGTGTTATCAGTTCTTATGATTCTGTTCCCAGAGTTGATCTCTACAGCATTGCTGGTAAGTGGCAAAACACGGACAGATGTTGAATAATAGTTTGGATGCTCTTTAGCATGGTGTCAGGCTCTGTGTTGTGTCCTGTGTTTTGCCAGGTACATAAGGTGCCATCATCATCCAGTGACTGTCTTGCCAACAAATCTGACCAGGTTGATAAATATAGGCGTGCACACCAGCCACAATCAGTAATGTGAGGACACCGTTGATTATGTCTGTAGCAAAATCCTTTCCTTCAAGAGAGCAACAGGCAAAACAGTTTTGATGATATATCTCCATGCCTAAATCTGTCAAATTTTTCGTAATGCATTTGTAGTGTGAAAATTATTTACCTATTGAAGTACCAGGATAATCTCTCGAGAACAAAAATCAGCCTTTTCATAAATACTTTTTTTTTCCCCTGAAGGAATATTGCTGGTGGGAAAAAATACTCCGTATTTCCAAGTGCTTCTACTTTTGTCAGATTTAGTATTAATGTTGCATGTAAAGTGGCTTTGGGGCTTGAAGGGTTAAATCTCTGCGTTGTGTTAAAGGGTTTGAGCAGCATTTATACCGCCACATCCATGACAAGGGCGACCACCCACCGCTGATTGTAATGCGTTTTATTCCGCACACTGTGATCGTAACGGGGACCAGAAGCAAAGAAGTTTCTACAGAAGCTGAAATACAGGAGATTGATTTCAGACGTCCTTCAGACGAGACATTCACCCAAGATCCCGTCTCCCTGTTCAAGTGGACGTTTAAGTTTCTATGGCACACTCTGAAAAGAGAAGGCAGTGTCTACCATGGTCATGGTTGTTTGTGGGACATTGTTGTGCGGAAATCTGGAATACTGCGTTCCCCCCCCAAAAAAACACAATCATTAAACTTTACAGTGATTTCCGTGAGGTGTTTTGAGATGTCCTTTTGAAGTGTGTCAAATCCAAGGATTACTTTATTGTTATAACAGATCTGTGTCTGTTGTACCGCTTCTCACAGCGTGAACTCCAACTAATTAATCCAAGCTGAAACTCAAAAGAGTTTATTCTGTTCTCTAGACTTTTTTTTGGCTGTTTGTTAAAAAACATATGAACCCAATAAAAAAGCAATAAACATTCATCCACATCATTCACCCATGCCAGAATCTGCCCTTAAGTAGTTTTTTTCCTCCCGTCATAAATACAGGCAGAGCGCAGACTCCCTATTTACAAATTAAAATGTACAAATCAATGCAACAGCTTCATAAGCATTACACAAGTTTTTTTAGGTCGACTTACTGTATAAATACAAATATGGGTGAAAGCCAAAGGCATTGAACAGTGTGACGGACATACATTGTGTGACTGAGACATAAGTTGGGAGTTTCAAGATTTTTTTTGATAGCTCAAAACTTCAGAAGCTTTAAAATAGTTTGAGAACTTGCAATCCTTGAAATCGTAGCAGTCCTTGCTGCGCAGACCTTATTTCTCGGCACCCAAGCCTTCTCAGTTCAGTTTGATATCTTAAGACTCAAATTAAGCTTACACTAGTGTTCTCTTCAACTCGCAATCTCCACTGAAGTGCTCGCAGTCTATCAGTTGTACGATCGTAACCTTGTGGACCTGTTCTTTATTGATAAAATCTCTTTCTGATGCTATTGTGTTCTAGAAGATAAGAAGTTAAAGTGTATTTCAAGTTCAGCTTCTACTGGCCAAGGACATTTATTGAATTTTTATGATCGTTATTATATTTCATACCCTGGATCTAGATTGTGTAGCGATGGTATCAATTAATTCCCTAGAATTACATAGATTGTTACAGCACGGAAAATGTGCTCCAACTAATCCATACCAGTGTTTATACTCCATACATGCACCCACCCCTCGTATACCCCTTTATTCCCTTCTCAGTCATGTTTTCACCAAGCTTTCTCTGAAATACGTTGATCCTTTCTTCTTCAACCTAACTTCCTCCAGTGAGTTCCACATTCTCATCGCCCTCTGTGTGAAGAAGTTCCTCTTAAACTCGCTTATAGATCTGCTACTGACTCTCTTGGATTCATGCATCCTTGTTTCATTCGCCAATATTTATGTCCACCTTATCAAATAATGTTAAACACTTGATACAGCGCCTTAACCTGTTGTCGAGACATCTCAAAGAACCTCACAGAATAGATTGTAAGGAGATGTGGCCGTGTATATTTTGAGGGTGAACAAGGCAGCCGATTTGCACACAGCAATGTCCCTCAAACAGCCATAGAGTGAGTGACCAATTTTAATTGGGAAATTGTTGGCTATGACACTTCCCTTCTCTTTTGAAATAGCATCATCGGATCTTTAATGACCACTGAAAAAGCAGACAGGACTATAGGTTAATGTATCATCTGAAGGGACCTCCGACAATGTAACCCCTACGAAACACTGGAGTGTCAGCATAGACTATGTGAGTTCATTGTACACTAAATAATAAAAGCTGATGCCTTGTGCATATTGTACAGAGTTTCTGCGATATAATTTAGCTGAAGCCATAGCCGGAAAAAGTTACCTTTGCAATCCAGGAGTCCTAATTAAGTGAGCAAAGAGCCCATTAACCAAAGGAATAGAACCAGATGAGAACAGATCAAAGAAAGAGTAACATTTAAAATAAAATGAGAGTAATATTTTAATAGAAATAAAACATTTAGACACTAAGATTTAATTCCCTTTCAAACATTTATGGATTAAATGTCCTGTAGAGTATTGGTTAGCACATTCGCCTCTCAAGTGAGAGGACTTGAGTTCAATTCCCAAGCAGGGCCAAACCTTAAGCAAGTTTCCTTACTCCACACGCCTCTCTTTACCTAGCAGTAAGTAGGAACCCAGTTGTTAGTTGCTCGATGGGTTGCTTTCCGGGGGTAATAATCCCTTAAAAAAATTGGTCCGTCAATCCACAACTGTTTGTGGGGCCCTGCTGTGCACAATTAGCTGCCGCAGTTTGCCCACAAAATACACAGTCAATCCACTTTACAAAATATTCTGTGAAGCGCTTTGAGACATCTCAACGATGTGATAAGACACTACATCAAATGCAAGGATTATTATTATTATTATTATAATGCAAATGATACAAATTACATTTGTCTAGCACCTTTCATGTCGGGAGGATGTCCCAATATTATTATTATCATCATCAAACAACCAGAATCTGGGAGGACATTTCATTATGCCCACACAAGCATTTGCCAATTTGCTTTACGTGGGATCAGTTCTGATCAGGTCTGTCATTT